CATGAAGCGAGCGCTTACTTGAAGGCCTGAAGGGAAACGTGAACGAGTTAAATTGTAGAATGTACTGAGTGGGTGATTGTTAGGAGATATGAAAAGGATGAATAGCAGGTGGAAACGAGTGGAAGTGTTTGGTCAGGCCAGTGTTGTATGGAGAATGCTGGTGAACCGCCTATGCTTCTGCGCTGTGAGTAACAGGCGTAAGTAAGTTTGTTAATAGTGAATATAGTATGATGTCAAACTAATTCAGATCACTGTAAAGTCTGAGAGAATATTTAGCAAAGAAATAGCGAATTATTTACAAATCGAGAGAGAGAAGAAAAAATGATACATTCGTTAAAAAGCATAAAGTAATTTGAGTTTGTCACTCAGGACTGTTCATTACTAGTGCAATGAACAGTTACTTAATCATCGTAAATTAGTTGGAGAGAATCTCACAATTAATGAGCATTGAATTCACGTCTTTGATAATTTTTAGAAATGTAATGATTCCCAAAATTATGAAAATCGTTTCAATAAAGTTGTACAGTATCAATGTTAAAGGGTAGAAGTTTTTGAAGTGGATTATTGATCAGACCGTACCTTTTTTGTCTGTTTGTCGGTTTGTGAGTTAATCAGATTTGTCATGTCAAACCTTGATTGTTAATGATATTTAGTTTGCCTGTTTGCCTATCTTTTAGAGGAATTGGTTTTTTGAAAATCATTTTAATTTGTTCAAAGTGACTATTAATTATTGATCCCGATTGGAGTTATTATTTAAAACCAAGAAGCATTGGACAACTGTTTTGTCCTCGTATGCGACTCCTCGATGTACTAGAAGTTTGATACTATGACGAAATAACTATCTATCTTGTTACTGATTTGCTTTGAGATGATTTTCTCAATTTCTGAAGAATTGTTATAAATGGCGGAGTTCAGATGTGTTTAGAATGAAACAGTCCTCATCAATGGTATTGGATAGTCATTTCGGTGTTTTACAAATTGTCTGAACTTGGAAATATGTGGTATTGGATTTTACTCATGTAGTATAAAGGTCTAACATCATTTACAAGGCTCGAATCACTCAAGGTGCCGCGAATGAGTACTCTTAAGTAGTCATATACTAACATGAAACAGGCACTCTGCCCTCTCTATTTATTTATCTGTTTAGTTATGTACCCACATATTAACAGTACACTTGTATAGTATAAAACAGTAAACAGATATGCAAAAACTTAATCATTAAACTATCCATTTTATTTTCATCTGCGATATATTATTATTGATGCTTATTACCAAGGTGACAGATGTTTGGTAAAAATGTGCAGGCAATAAATCCTTTTTTAATTATTATTTTCGACTATGTTTCAATGTTTTTCTATCTGTTTTCTTGTTATCACTATAGTAACTGTAACAATTTTCTCACAATACTACTAATAATAGCAACCATATATATATATATATATATATATATATATATATATATATATATATATATATATATATATATATATATATATATATAGCTGTTATCGTTGACTTTATCATCCCAACTATTAACAACCAATATTGATTAGTATAGTAACAGTGGCAGTTGACTTAGTTTGAAATGAATACATATCTATGTATATATATATTTTAAAAATAGACTTATAGAACATTTCTCAAAAGAATTGATTATTCATAATCTAATCATTATTTTTGTTTTCATTACCTTAAGGTTGAATGAAATTTGAAAGGAAGGGAAGAATTAGTTAGAGAAGTGAGATAAAGATTGGCTTTGTTACAGACAGTAGACAATTTTCATAGTCCTATTTTGTATTGATCACATTATTCATTGTTTTAAACAGTAGTATATATATATATATAGGTGTGTAGGTATGTGTTTTTGTACATTTATACATAGTATTAATTCTATACCAATTTTTACATATAACTATAATTGTTTTAGAGTCTTTTGGGGGAAAAAAACAATGCGACTATTGTTCCTGACCATAAAATTGTAAATACATTTCCTAACGTAATAATTCCTATTTAAATATAAAAAAACTAGGATCGTATGAATTTTTCTAGGGTTAAAGTTTCGAATAGGTTTACATTTTGTTTACATACATGGTACACGTGATCGATAGATGTTGTTGTTTTAAGTAAACATAATTGAAAACAGATGTATAGGTAAATATATTTTTATTTTAGTGTTATTAAATGAGTTAAGTACTGAAACAATGTATGATAAACTTACCATTGAAATGTGTTATTAGGTATAGATTTTATAGATTTAGGATTGTTGAGATAAACGTCTTTAGTGGTTGATGTGGTTGAGTAATACAGATCATAATTGGCTGTACTGAAATTGGTGTAATGACTTTTTACTTCTTCCTATATCATGACTTTCAACAATTCTTCACTGATACTTTAGCTTCATTCCTTTTATTGAAGCATATGTTCACTGTTCCGTTTTTCACGTTATCTTTATTACTATTGTTTTAACTTCTTTTCTTCCTAATTTCACCTCATTTCGTTGATTTGATGTGTCAACTAATGCTGATACACATTTATGCCAGTTAATACATTAATTTTGACTGGTTGATTGACTGATTACATGTTGAAGAATGAAAGAGAACCAATAATTTGTGATATTAGAAAATAAGAGATTACAAACAGGTTCAGATGATACGAGTATTAAGTAAATATAGAGTTTGATGAACGGTAAGCCACATACACTAAGCTTCTGTTTTGTAAGAAAATAAATAATGTAGCTCGTTACATCTCTGGATAATCCCAGGATCAGCCAATTTGTACATTAACTTTAGACAACTTATTCACCTCCTCAACTTAAGATTATGTAAAAGAATGAATCAATCCTTGATGAGGAGATTTATTTGAGCCACTAGGTCTGTAATAATTAATATAATGTAAATATACTCGAAATTTACTTGGATGAAGAGCAATACAAATACACTTAAATATCGGCAAAACAATAAAACAGTCCTTGTTTTAGGCTGTTCTCGGATGAATGACATCGGGATGAAAAACTTTATTTCTAAACTATGAAGAAATAAATAAATTGTGAAAGGTATCTTCAACTTGAGATGATTTTGGTAATGTTGGATTCTTCGACCTAGTTTCAGAGCTTTCTATTACTTGATTAAAATATTTCATACATGACTAATATAGTTGAAATTCATTGACAATGTAAATGTTTACTAACATCAGATTTTGTGAATCGTTTAATAACTTATGAAATTATTTTCCAAGAAGGTTATTAATCGTAGTTAATGTCACCTTTTTTATGACTTAATGGATTAGGTAGTTGATTAGTGTAATTAGTCGTTGGGTATAAATCAATATTTAGTTTCATCTACGTGCTTTTTTTGTTCAAAAAAGTAGAGCTGAATTCCTTTTTACTCTCGGTATATATAAAGTGTAATTTACTTATCATCATTCAGCTTGTTTATTAAACATCTTAGCTGATAGTTAAGTTGTAAATATCACATGTGTGAATAAGTGTTGAAATATGAACATTTTCTAAATCCTGTTATATTACATGCCACGGAAATTTCGATTTTTGTTTTCTGTCATATATATATAATTTTGGAAGGATATTAATTTACTGAATGACTATCACAGTTATTTGTAACTGAAATCCAGTACATTCTCTAATTATCTCCATGGTAACAAATGTTTTTATTGGTTTCCAGATGATAAATTATATTTTTCTTGTCCTTTATTCTTGATTTTATCCACTTTTCATTTTAGTTTTTTTTACATATTAAAAATAAATTTGTTTAACTAAGTGACTAATTGAAATTCTATGAACTCATTTTATTCTATAAGGGTATGTGATTTTATTTCGTTGTTTAATATGTGTAGGTTTAATATCGTGTTCATTGTTTTGTGTATAATAATGAAGATGATATAAGTGGTATTTATGTACAACAATTTGGCATATATTCCTTATTAGATTATGAAGGTGACAGAGTCATTTTGGTCGAAATAATACATCGAATTAAATTCATCTATTTAATTACCTAACAACATCCACCTTAAATTAAAAAAAAAAGATTTCAGTTGGTTGTTTAAATTGATTTTGTATGATTGGTGTCTTGGAGTTCGTATGATTAATTTTCAGTTGTTGATCTCAATTGATAGAATATATTCATTTTTGTCACAACTGATTGATCACTGGGTGGTGATCAATGTCATGCTTGTCTAGTCCTTATTAGTGCAGATCGAATGCTATCGATCATGTTGCAATGTGGCCACCAGTCTAGGTGACTCGACACTGCGGCACTATGTATTGAGATTTTAGATGGTGGTTGGAGGTAGTCAACAGGAAACCCTGGACCCGGGTTTCGTGCTATTTGGCACTCGTCAGCAAGGTGTACCTGTAATCTTGAGGGAACTGGTGCTCCCTGGCGGCTCGGATAGCTCAGTGGTCCGCCAGGGAGCACCAGTTCCCTCAAGATTACAGGTACACCTTGCTGACGAGTGCCAAATAGCACGAAACCCGGGTCCAGGGTTTCCTGTTGACTACCTCCAACCACCATCTAAAATCTCAATATATTCATTTTTGTGCTATTCATTTTGTAGCGAATTCTAAAACAACAACATATTGACGTTTCATTCTTAGAACATTTTTTCAGTCACACTAGACTTTTAGCTTTTTATATATATTTATTAATTAGAAAGTCCGTTTACTAACCTATAAGTTTTGGATTTACAAATTGAGGATTGTTCTAGTTAACTAACTGACGATATTTTGAATTTTGAATATTAAAATCCCAAACTATATGTTTAGAGATTGAATTAACTGGAATGGAACTGATTGATAGATTGATTTCCTTCATTTCTGATGGGAAGTTATTTATCTCTTAATACTGGAATATTTAGTACAATTTAATTCTTATTAAGATTATGAAGTAAACTTTGTGATCTTAACAAGATTCAATAATCTATACAACTCCTCCAAACTGTTGATTTTAATTGTTGGTATTGTTGTTTTTTTTCTTCCCAATTTACAGGTCTCCATTCTGTAGCAGATATCTATTGTGATTGTTGTCATACAGTATTAGGTTGGAAATATGAACAAGCTTTTGAATCTAGTCAAAAGTATAAAGAAGGAAAGTACATCATAGAATTAGCTCACTTAATTAAAGACAATGGATGGGATTGGGTAGTTTCTGAATTAGAACAACGAAGACCTTATTGAAGGTGTATTTTTTATTGTTAAGACGAGTTCACTATCATTTCTTAAATCTTCAAAGAGAAAGAGTGCTACTATTACTACTACTGTAACCCATGTTATGCATCTTTACATTTATACAAACGTGTGTTGTTTGATTCGTGTGTTATTTTCTCTACAGTTACATATTATAAAGTGCATTGTAACAAGTATTGCTCATAGTCTTTCAATTTTCAATGAAAATCATTACATTTTCCATTTGTAGCCTTTTGGCTTTTCTAAATTTTACTTCTCTAGCTTTCTAGTTCTATCTTTCTCTTCCCAGCTATCTTCGTATGTATGTGTTAGTCATAAAACTGACACCGTAGATCAAGAAAAGTTTCTATGATTCTTTTTGTTTCTTGGCATTACAGTTTATCTTTTTTTTAACCTTGTTTACTTATTCTTCTGTTTATTCAATTGATACTTCTATTGATATTATTCTTCATTCAAATTTGTCTATGTATCAGTTCACAATGAATCAACCGATAATTATTGGTTTGGGTGATGCAGATGATCATGAAAACAAAAATTTTATTACACATCTGTGCGGTTTTGCCTTGTGTGTATTTCATGTTTTTCTAGTTAAATTCAAAAGTGTACTATGAAGCCATGTTTTTCTTTCTATTGACTTCGGCATTATCGATCCAACAGAGAATAATAGATTGATTCAATTTCAGTTTTTTTTTCTTAAAATATCAACATTTTGTTGTTAGTTTTGTGTTTGCCTTTTTTTTTCTCCGCACCATTTATGCTTAATTTCATTCTCAGGATAGGATCAATCAAAATGATTATATCATAAGTTTGAACTTATAAATTATTAGGTATTCTTTACATTGTTTGATGCTAATAATGATCACCATTAGATAGGCCTATTACTTCTTTGAATTGTTGCATTACCGAACAGTAAATAATAACTTCGCTCTTAGGAAGGAAATCTTTTATCTCTCTCCCTCTCCCTCCCTATCTGTATTTCTTGTTATCATTAAATCTATGGCCAAATCACAAAAAACACTATTTTCTTTGTTCAGCCAGCTTAATTAATTTTGTCTGTTATTTCGTGCTTTTTGAAATTACTTTTTTTCTCAACGAAACAATTTGTGAAATTTATATATATATATATATATACATGTATATGCTTATGTAAATATGTTACTCTTTATGTTTACTACTACTTTGCATACGCTTTCATTGTTTACATATGTATGTATGTGTATGTGTGTGTGTGTCTGTTTTGTTCAGCTCTTGCAGTTTGAATAGAACAAAAACAAAACTCAAGCTGTTTATCAGTTTTATCTATAGGTTAAATAATACATGTACCAAATAAGCACACACATATACACACACACAATGATAACGATTAGATACTTCTGAGTGTTAATTAGTTTTGCTTTGATTATCTTTTCCCGATTATTATTATTATTATCACTATGACTACTCAAATTTATTGTCTCTCATCTATTTTACAAAGCTTAATCGAATGTTATAATTTGCATAGAACTGAATTTATACACGTCAATCGAATGAATTTAGTGATTTCTTCTTCTATTAAACTATCATTTTTATAATATCGATTCCTAAATTCTCCCCTTTTTCACCATAAGATCAACATTTTTCTTTTTTAAATTTTATTCTCTTTTTGTGTTTATTTTTTCTCTTAATAAATTACGTCATCATTTCAAACGATGTATCATTTTGTATGAATAAAATTTTTCTTTTCTTTTTTTTTTAAAAAACAAATTTACTTGACTTTATACTTCGCCTGTTGTTCATTCCTGTAATCAACATTTTGTTTTTGGTAATAGTTACATTTACAAATTATGAATTGGATACATTATTTCATTTTATACTTCAACATATTCATTATTCATATATTACTGATAATTGAATTCAGGTTCTTTGCTTTTATTGTTTGTTTATTTCTTGCTTTTGATCTTTTATTATTGTCTATTATTAATTCGTTCATTTATGTTACATGAATAGTGTTTGACGATATCATCACCATCACCATCATCATCATCAATATTATCGCTACAACACTATCTGTTTATAATGTTCCAATGAACAACAAACAACCAAAACATAATAAAAGTCAAAATGAGTAATAAATAATTTAAAATAATAGAACCAATAACCATCACAGAATATGAAGGGAGTTATTCTTCTTTTTGCCGATATATATATATATATATATATATATATATATATATATATATGTATATCGAGTAATGTTATTACCAATTTTAGTTATCATTACCCAATGTGGTAAATTTGCATTTACAATTTTCACTGTTTTCAAAGGCAGACAGTCATTGATAAGCTTTTGTTTATTATTGTTCATATTTACTTTGATTTTTTTATTGTGTTTTGTTTTGTTTTGTTTATAAATTTGTGTAACATCTTATTCATTACATTTTGAGTGAATTTCTATTTAATTACATCATAATGCATATAATATATACGACATAACTAAACAAGTTAACAACTTATACTTGTGAAACGTTCTTGTTTTTCCAGTTAACTTAAATTCCTTTAGGATTACAATATTCCTGTTTATTATGATTTGTTATTATTTCCATGTGTTCTCCTTAACAACAACAACACCACCACCACCAAAAATCTATCTCTAATCGTACATTCTTTAAAATATATTCATGTATGTTATATTCTTTATGCCACTTTAATGTTTCGTTTGTTCTTGTGTTTATTTCTTCTGCCTCACTTGTTCAATGTTCACTATATGATCTTTGCACGAAAAAAAGAAAGATACCTTCAAATAAGTGAGACTTTTATGTAGACAGAAGAAGTAAACAATCTCAAATTGTTTGAAATAATCGGTTTGTGTAAAATATGATTACTTAGAGATTGTTTTATTTTTTTTTCTCATAGTGTTTCTTTATTATACTTCTGTATTCTCTCTTATACTGTTTATTGGATGAAGTCAGAACAAATGATGTAAATGATGATAAATTAAAGTTATGGCATAATGGAATGTGATGAAAATATGTTGAAATTTCTTGTTGTACAAATATATATATATGTAACATACATTATAATATTATTATTACTAATTCTGACTGATTATCATTATTCTTATCAACATTGAATATTATTGGTTCTTTTTTTGTCGTTGTTGTTGTTGTCGTTGTTTTGTTTATACAATTTGAGCAGGGCTCAATTATTCAACTTCTTTCAGTTACTGTGTGATTCAGTTTTTCATGGGTGGCTTTTTTTGTTGTTTTCAGTTTATAATTATGTTTCATGGAAGGAAAATTAAATAAATAAAAAAATAGATATAAATATATAAATGACAATAATCTTATACTAATCAAGTTGTTTTATTTTTAAATAAATCATAAATGATAATTTTTAATATATTTTGTATTATGTCTAGCACTGGAATCCAGACGGACAATGTACTTGTGTTTCATTATTGATATTTACATTAATGACTATTAGTTCGAATGCCATAACGTTATCTACTGAGTTATTAGGTACAGATCACTACCAACTTCAATATATACATAAAATCTTGCAATAATCCATTGTAGAAATTCAGAACTGAAATCGAACATACTGTATTAACAATGTTTAACTATATTTGCATACAACATGATGAATTTGTTTATTATTTCGTTGGATTGTCATCAAGTACATGCAGCTTAATAAGTTTATCAGTACCATGTTCTATTAAGAATCCGTGACAAGAGGAGCTAATCCGTGTCAGGTAAAAACAGGTATTTACCTCAGACAATAGAAGATGGTCGAGCAATTTTGTAGACTGATTAAAGTTAGACATTAACACCGTTGGATACCGGCCGGCTCAGTGGGCTAGAGGTTAACAGTTCCCGCTCGAGACCGAAGATCCTGGGTCTGGGTCACGCGTGCGGAATCGTGGATGCGCACTGATGAGGAGTCTCATACTAGGACAAAATGGCCATCCAGTGCTTTCAGGTTTTCAATCGTAGTCTAACATTGATTGATTTATGATCCCAATCAAAAACCAATAGATTTAGTTCAGAATACTTAAAATAGTACATGAAGTTCTAGATGGTGATATATGTATTAGTGGACAGTATATTGTTCGAAGACAAGGTTATACTGAAGTTTTATAACGAATTAGACTAATAGTTCACGAAAATTAAGAAATAATTATTCGAATTGTAATTTGGTTTATTGGAGAATCAAAGTTTTACATCAAACAACGTTAAGAATATTAAGTTTTGTATGGATACTATTTGCAATATAATCTACAAGGATCGTTTATTATAAGTCCTGCTTTAGGATAGCTCTTTGATATTACTTTTTTTTATATGGACATTTAGGTGAAGGTAGTGCAGAATATGAATCATATCGAATTTCTCTTTGAATGTTAGTTATTGCTAGTCAGAACTGTGTCTAAGATTATTTGATTAATGATGGGTAGGAGTTAGTGTTTCCGCGTTACTGATATTCAATATTAAATTTCGACCGGTTTCTGTTAGCTTATCTACGCTAAAAACAAACTCATTAATGTCTATTGCCGTTACATATTTTATTATCATATAATAATGGACGTTTATCAACAGAAACTGACCAAAATTCAACTGTGGACGTCATTAAAAAGAAAGAATTAACGATTATCATATTCTCAGAAGGGGTTTTGTGGAGATGGTGTAGGGTGTGGATGGTGTACGGTGACTCAGTTTCGTGGATTAGTTAAAGTTAGACATTAACACCGTTGGATGCCGGCTCAGTGGTCTAATGGTTAAGCACTCGTGTGCGTGAATGGTGGGTCCTGGGTTCAAATCTCTCGAGGAGCGAGGTCGTGGATGCGCACTGGTGAGGAGTCCCATACTAGGACGAAATGGCCGTCCAGTGTTTCCAGGTTTTCCATAGTGGTCTAGCTTCAATTGGCTCATGATTTCAACTATTAAAATAATCATATCATATTGTGAACCAAAACATTTTTCCAGCATCAAAATTTTCTAAGGAAAGCATTTTGAAATTTTCAAATTAGTTTCACTATTAAGAGTAGAAATGGTATGAGTAGCAACAAACATAATAATATCAATAATTTACATAGTTCTAAATACCTCAGTTGAAGTTTCATAGAAAGGTAAATGCTTATTGGTTATGATTTTGCTCACCAGGCAACTAATTAAAGTGTCTCATTCTAGA